CATTTATTACACTGCCCCCCTGTCAACTGAGATGATCAGACAGTTATTACATAGAATTAGGACTAAAAGAAGGGATAGGATTTAGATGAGCAGAGAGGAAGGGAAAGGGTCATTCCAGGGAGGGGGAAAATAAGCTAAGCAAAGGGATGGTGGTACAGAATGAGTATAACCTATGTGGAGCCATAGGAAGATTGACTTGAGAAGAGTAGAGGGTCTACACAGGGGAGTAGTGGAAAATAAGAAAGACTTCATGAAAATAAGAAATACTATAAGATATAGAAGAAAAGAATACTCTAAGAAAAACATACTGTAAGAAAATAAGAAAGACTATATTCTTATTTCCTGAATAATGGTTAGTAGAATGGTAAGACAAAGATAGATTGTTAAGGACCCTGAATGCCAAACTGAAGGTTTACATTTTATCTTATAAGCAATGGAGAGCCATTAAATTTTTTTGAGCAAAAACAAGGCCAGACTTGTAGACTAGAAAGAATCTTGGGCAGCCTTTGAAAGACAGATTAAAGAAATGAGAGATTAGATAGGAAGTTGGCACTATACTCCCAGCAGGAAATTACCAGGGCTTGACCTAAGATCATTGGACTCAGAACAGAGTAGAGGGGATGAATGGAAAAGACATTATGAAAGAAAGAATGAAGAGCCTTTATGACTGGTTAGCTTCTAAGGGTTCAATTTAATTCAATAATTATTTATTAAGCAACTATTATTTGCAGAACACTATGCTAGGTGTTGAAGAAATAAAGACACAAACTTAATCATACCTGACTTCATGAAGCTTATATTCTCCTGGGGGCAGGGGGAGTACACAATAAGTACATACAAGTATAGTATAAGGAACACTGATGGAGACAAAGAACACTAGCAACTTGGTTGACCCTTTTGCTTTGTGTATTCACCCTGACTGGTTTTGAGAGTGGAAACCAGCAATCCTGATACAGAAGTTTCCATCTACCTCATGAGTTGGAGAGCACTTTGGTATCTGAGTCAATGGTAATTGCCCAATAGGTGATGCCTGCACATATGGCACCAACAAGATTGTCCAACTAGAGAGACGTGGCTGAGTGGCCAGCAGATCTGGACCTTAGACAGCACAAAGCTGAGGCAAATGAGAAATATTTGTCCAGCAGTCCCACAAAGTAACTTTACCTTTTAGGGAAATTATAATGATGGTGATGAATTGTTGTTTTACCCTTAAAGTATTTGTTAACGTATGCTTGTAAGTTTTTTGGTTGTATGCTTTTCTTTGCTGGTAGAGGAAATAAATGGTAGTCCTACACCTGATATCCATTTTGTATATTGAATATCTTTATGAGAAAGGACCCCTTTAATCCACTTGTGGGAAGATACTAGACATATGCCATACCTAAGATTTATTTAGAGATATCCCCTGGAACTCTAGGTGGGGAGCAATGAGCTAGAGAGAGAAAAAGTGAAAGAAAAACCTAACTCTTCCCTTTAAGGTCAGGCTGCCTCCAGGATGAATCCAATCCCTATATAAGTACAGAGCATGAACCCTTTTTCTGGGAGGATCTATAAATACGCACACAAATATGTAAAAATATACGCACATAAAAAGCAGGTAGTTGGTAAGGGAGAGCAGATAGAGTGCTGATCTTGAATCATGGATTTGAACTCAGTATCTGACATTTCCTAGCTATCTGACCCTGAACAAGTCACTTTACCACCATGTTCCTTAGGCAATTGCCTAAGACTTATCTACTAAGTCATGTTTGGGTTTAATGGTTTGGTGATTTGGTAGCTGTAGTTCCCACACTGATAAATAATAAAATATTTTTAATAAATAAATAATAAATATCCTTAATATGATATATTAGTTATAATAAATTTAATTAAAATATAATATAAATAAGATGTTTTAATAATCATAAATATCCTTAATAAAAGGATTTGTCCCGTAAAACTTGGACTCAGTCAAAAGGCCCCACACCCAAGGATGAAGAAGGCCACATATGGCCTTGAAGCTGTAGGTCCCCCAACCCTGACCTAAATCATATGTATGTGACATCCAAAAGAGCTCTTCCCATGGCTGCTTTAATAAACTTCCTTTTTTCTTTTCACAGAGGGTATTTAATACTAAAAAGACCGAAAATTTAACAACACCTGAAGGACCAAGTTTTGTCAATTGACGCAACATATTTATTTTTAATTCACAAGGCAAATAAAACAAGGATAGGATGAAAATTTTTATTTCAAAGCAAATTGTAATAAAAATTTTTGCATCACTTGATGAGTCGGTCCTTTTAGTCTTAGTACTGTCTGCTTTCCTCTTACTTCTTCACCTCAAGGAGAAGGCTTGCCTCCCCTACCCTCCAACCTTCCCAAAGCATCGTTCAGAGGCTGGGAATAAACACTGTCCTTTAAAGCTCCCGTCCGCAGCCCTACAGTGCAAATGTTATTGAAGTTCTTATTAACCTCAAGGTGGCGCCAAAACATCACTAGTGATTGAAGGTGACAGCGTGTGGGGGGGGGGCGCGGTGCCGTATGATCCACTGTAGGTATTCCAGCTGCGCCTGCAAAGACCTTGTCCCAGGGCATGAAGAAAACTCCTTTCATAAAGCAAGCTATTCAAATACAAACGTCTTTTATTGCTGTTCCTCTGCCGTAGGTTTGTATGATCCCTGGGTAGGGGCCAACCACAGGCACAGATCCCAAGTACTTGCTCATCCTCTCCCGGTGACCTGAGGGCTACAGGTTGCATATTTGGCCACCTCTGCTCTACTATAACGAAGAACTTCTGTCTCATACAGAAAGCACTTGGGCTCAGAAAGTGATTGGACCGGAGCACAAACAGCTCAGCCTGCCACTCACACAGCAGCACTGGGAGGATGCGGGGCAGGCACATCACCATATGGCAGTGGGAGAGGCAAACACCTGGTGGCTCACTTCTCTGGTCGTCACACACAATCTCAGAAGGTCAGAGCTTGAAGGAGGGACTACGTAGTAGGATGCTTGTAGCCCCTTTAAATAGTGACACTATCTCGCGCTGTGCCTTTAAGAGACCCCTTTAAAGGACAGCACATTATCACAAGAACTACAAATCCCAGGGTGTCCTGTGTGGGGCCCCTTTTCTCTACATACTTGGGACCTTTATCCTCCAATAGACGCCAACAGAAGCCGACTACATTTCCCAGCAGACTGTGTGGACCCGACCGGCTTTCCTTTCTTCCCTGTTTGATTTCCCGATTTACGTCACGACCATGACGCAATCTTCCACAGTCCAAAGTCCCTTCTCCCTTGGGCTAAGGAAGATACTACGCCTGCCAGCATACACAGCGCAGGTAAAGACCGCTTATGCCACCATCTTCGCTAGAGTCCTTTTTTTCACAAGTCTGAAATGAGTAGCCGTGGGCTTCAGACTACAACTCCCGAAAATGCTCGTTTCACGTTTCTTTTTGCCGCCATCTTGCTTATAGTCCCCGCCCCATTCCCTTTTCCATTGTCTTCGCTGAAGAGAAAAGAGGTGGAGTCTGGAAAACTGCAACTCCCGTCGTGCCTTGCGCTACCGTATGGCTTTGGATATTGGTAGTGAGTGAGATATAGACAGAGCTAAAAAGAAGCGGCGAGGAGAATGTCAATATCGGTCGCCATCTTGGTTGTAGTCTTATCCCTTTTCCGGGTTCGTTGTCCTTAAGTATTGTTGCAAGCTAACGGACTACTATTCCTATCGCACCCCGCGCGGCAGGCGAGCCAGTTAGTTCTTCTACCGCCATCTTGCACGTAGTCCTTATCCGTCTTCACCTTTCCATTGTTCCTGACGGGGATAACTGGAGAGGAAAGGAAGTAGACGGACTGAAACTCCCGGCATGTCCCACACGCGCAGAGGGTTGTAGAGGGAAAGAGGCTGAGATCTTGGAGAGGAGGGCTGAGGAAGATGCCATCTTGTTTGTAGTCCCTGTTCTTGTTCCCGTTCTGTGTTCCCCAATGAAACTCTCAGGGCCTGTTGGAATACAACTCCCGTCGTCCTTGGTTTGCAGGGAGGTCCCCAGCCGGGCCCGTTGGCCGCCATCTTCTATGTAGTTTTTGCCCTCTTTGGCGTTCCATTGTCTTGCACGACTGCCCCGAGGGCTAGAAGACTACAATATCCGTCGTGCTCCGCGCGCCTCATTCCAGGAAGGTGGAGGTGTAGGGGGGAAAGGGGGAGGGGTTGGCCTGGAAGAAGGAGGGAGGGAGGGAAGGAGGGAGGGAAGAAGGAGGAGAGAAGGAGGGGGGAGGGGAGGAGGAAGGAGGAAGGAGCTGAGGAGGGATGAGAGAGGCGGCTGGGGCCCGGGGCCGGAGCAACGCGGGGCCAGGGGGCCGGGGGGGCTGAGACACCCCAACTGCCCCCTCCCCCCTCCCCTCCCCCTTCCTCCTTCCCTCCCTTCCTCCTACTCGAGGGGGGTTTTATTCAAATTTATTTAAATTTATTTCTTCCTAGGGGCGATTGCGGGGGAGGGGGGTGGGGGGGCGCACGGGCCGGGGTGGGCGGGGCCAGAGTCGCTTCCTTCACCCCCCCTCCCCTCCCCCCTTCCCTGCCAGGGAGGGGGGTCACAGGAGGGTGGAACGGGCTCGGGGGAGGGGGGGAAGGTTAAGGTGACCCCCCCCTCCCCTCCCCAGGAACCAGCGGTGGGAAGGGTCTGGACCTCAGGAGTAGCTGGAGTGGGGCTAGGGTGGTGGGGAGGGAAAGGTGGGAGTTAATAGGCCAGAGCCACTTAGGAGGGAAAAGGGTAGGAGTCACTGAAGCAGGGAAAGGGGAGAATTTGAACCCCTAAACCAAGAGACACTGGGGAAGGACTTGACCTCCCAAAAGCCAAGGAACCCAAGAACCTGAGCTTATTGACTTGGGGTTGGGGCTCAAGAACTGAGTCCCCCCCAGATCAGGGACTGTTCTGGAAACCTAGCACGAAAACCAGTGAGAGGGCCTCTCCTCCAAGGGGATCCATACCTGAGCACCCCAATAGGTGCTTTCACCTATCTCTACCCACTGCTCCAGCCTCCAGAGGAGGCTGTGCAGCCTCAGGGGGCCGTGGACCCCGGAGTTCTGAGCACCCAGCGCCCTCCACCCCCTGTCCCCACTGCTGATGGCCGACGACCCACCGGGAGCTTCCGAGAAGGGAGAGATGGCTCCTGGGACACGTGTGAGGTGGGTTGATGCCTCTTTTCTTCCTTCTGTGCTCCCCATGAATCTGGATTTCTTTCTCATTTCCTTCAATTCATCTTTAGCTCCTCTCTGACTCTTTCCAGGCCCCTTCAGTATCTGTGACTTTTCCATGGGGCCCTTCCCCATGCCCAGGACCTGAGCTCCTGGCTTCCTTCATCCCAACTTCTACTTCACTCCATAGTCTTCCTTGTCGACAATTTTACAATCCTGTGGGATGTATGTGTCCCTCGTGGATCTTGGCTCACCCTTGGAAATCCTTAGAATTTTTCCTAATCTCGTTTTCTTCTCTTTTATGGACTAGGGAGAGCTAGAGATCCCTAGAGAATTAAGGAAACTTGGAAGCCTAGGGGAATTGGGAAGGGAGCTGGGGAATGCCATCGAATGAAATCTCTGGACCAGGAGAATGGGGGTGGAAAACTCCCAGCAGTCAGAGATCTCTGTATGGGTTCTTGGAGAATCTAGTTACTATAGAAAGGGAAGTTCAAGGGGTTTCTACACAATTAGGAGCAGAAAACAGTTTAGGGCATCTGGGACTGTTGGATAATGTGAGATCAGATTGAATTCTGAAATTTTTGAGAAGCGGGGTGATTGCCTAGGTAAACTGAAGAATGTAAAGTAGAAGTGTACATTTTGTGAAGGAGTTAGGTATCTTGGAATCTGGGCAGAAGAGAGTTTACGGGATCATGAGGATCTTTTTCTAGTCAGGAGTATTCTAGGGAAGTGGGAGTCCAGTACTGTCAAGGAAAAGGATAGTAGAAGAGACCCAGCAATCTTGTGGGCAAGGGATACTATCATGGGATCAGAGGCTATATAGGAGAGATACAGACTTCTTGAGAACCTGAAAATTTTTGAAGAGAAATGTCAGAAGATGAGGTGGGATTCTAATTTTAAAGGCTTCCTGAGGGTTGGGTTGAGGAGAGATTTGTGGGCAAAATTTAGTTTGTTTATATGGTAGGGTCGGGTGGAGGGGGGGAGCGTGGAATTCACAGCCTGGGATCAGAGGGGACCTTGGAGGTATATCTGGGAATTTCAGGTTGGGGAGAGCCTGGGGAGAGCTGCATTTGGAGATCGAGGGGAAGAGTCAGGAGCTTCCTGAGGTAACCCCCACTGGGATGTCTTGGCCTTCCTGGGGAGTTTCAAGGTGGGAGTATCAGAGGAGACTGGGCATCACTAATGGGCTCTCCAGGGAAGGGAGGCACTGAGGAAGGTGAGGGGTGGATCTGAGGTCTGGAGGCTGAGGGATTAATGGATCGATTGCAGAACTCTGAGGAGTAGAGGGAGATCGGGTGTGGACTGAATGGGGTGGCCTTTGGCCTCCAGGAGGGAGGGAGGGCAGAGGGAGGATCTGATTGAAGGACAGCCATGGGGAAAAGTTAATCAGGACTCCCAGATTCCATTATATCCTCTGGAGAAGAGGAGAGGGCTGGACAGAGGTTGTTGTGGAGGCGATGAAGGGAATAGAGAAAAAGGCTGGGCTGACTTTTCATGATGCTTTCCTTCCTCATACAGCCCTCGGCGTTGCTGACGCCCCCAATGTCGTCCAGCGGCCGGGGGCCGGGGGCCGGAGCGCGCAGACGCCGAACCCGCTGCCGGCGCTGCCGGGCCTGTGTACGGACCGAGTGCGGGGACTGCCACTTCTGCCGGGACATGAAGAAATTCGGGGGTCCTGGGCGAATGAAGCAGTCCTGTCTGCTCCGCCAGTGTACTGCTGTGAGTTTTTCCCTTTCTGTGTCCCTCAACCCATCAGTTGACTTGCTTGGGCTCCCTCAATCCACGAGGCCATTTCTAGACCTCTGGTCCTAACGTTAGGCTGAGTTATGCTCTTACTGCTCTTAAGTCTGCTGCATTTAGGAGCTGTTATTAGCTGGCAGAATATACCTTTTCCTTGACTGACTCAGAGAAAGCCTCCCTTTCCTTTTCAGGGTATTTGCTGATGCTTTCTCTCCAAAGAGTAGATTCTACCGTGTATTTCTGTTGTATTTGGCCACTGCTGAGCACTGGTCCAGAGCCTAGGATATGGGACTAGTCTTTGTCACCAGAATGGCTTGATGCAGAGCCAGCTGTCCCGCTCCAGCACCTTTCTACCTCAAACCCTCTCCCAATAAGATTAGGAGGTGTTACATGTGGTGGATTACATGCTGAGAGCCTTCCCAGGGACTAATGCCCAGACCCAGCTCTTCAACTTTTACACTGTATTCTACTCTTGTGGCTTCTCTTCCCCCTTGGTTCCCCTTCTCTCTTTTGATCTCTTCCTTGCCCATCTCTGCCCTCAGTTTCCTATTGTCCAGTTCCTCCTGTCTCTCTTTTCCCTACCCTTTCTCCAAATTCCACCCTCAAGTCAGCTTGATGTCCTGGCTGCACTGTCTCCCCACTCCTCAGACGTTGCATCTCCATGCTAGGTCACCTATGCCAGAGATGGCTTTTGGGTCTCTCTTCTTTTTTTTTTTCTCCTACTCTTTCCTTATTGGGTCTTTCTGGCAAATCCCAACACCTAGAGACTCTCAGTTGTGGCTACCCCCCCCCCCCCACTCCAAAGCCACACACAGCCTCCTTCTGCTCTTCTCCGATCCCTCCCTATCAACCAGCTAGTGCTGCTGCCTTGTCTGGAAACCTTCGGGTCCCTCTGTTAGACTCAGCTGCTATCTCCATGCATCAGAGCTAGCCACAATTTATTTTGTGCTCCAATTCAGTTCCGCATTTACTAATTGACCACTTTATACTTGAAGGATGTCTCTTTCTCTCCACCTCAGAGTCATTCGTAACTGTTCGATTAGCCACTGATCCTTTCTATTCCTGTGCCTTGTGAGGGGGTGCTGCCCAGCCATGGCCCTGACTTTCCTCTCTTACCTGCGTGCAGCCCGTGCTGCCCCACACAGCTGTGTGTTTGCTGTGTGGAGAGGCTGGAAAGGAGGACACAGTGGAGGGAGAAGAGGAGAAATTTGCTCTGAGCCTCATGGAGTGTACAATCTGCAATGAGATCGTCCACCCAGGCTGTCTCAAGGTAAGGTTTGGGGGCTGGGAAGCAGAGCTGAGGGCCGGCTGGAGGAGAGTATAGAGGGGGAGTAGAAGGTTGACATGGGAAAGAAACTTGGGGCAGAGTGTAACAAAAGGGGGATTAGCTTATGGGTAAGGATAGGATACACAGAACCCGCTCTTCCCTTTCTGTTTCTACTAGATGGGAAAGGCCGAGGGTGTCATCAACACTGAGATCCCAAACTGCTGGGAGTGTCCTCGATGTACCCAGGAAGGCAGGACCAGCAAGGTAGGGTGGGGATCCGAGAGCCAGGGGTGAGAGTGGGGTGGGGTGGAATAAAGAAGGACTTGGCTTCTCCTCTACACCAGCTGGAACTCTGGGTGGGAAGGATTCGGAAGAGTAGGGGGAGAGGATGGATCTCCACCTCTTCTTCCCTCCCCTAGGATTCTGGGGAGGGGCCTGGACGAAGGAGAGCTGACAATGGGGAGGAGGGGCCGGGGCTGGGAAGCGGCTGGAAGCTAACCGAGGAGCTGCCACCACCCCTCCCCCGACGAAAAGGCCCCCTGCCTCCAGGGGCTCCCTCAGACGATGGCCCTGGACCTCAGAAGCGGAAAGAGAGAGAGGTGGGGAATGAACCCCCCACACCTAGGAAGAAGGTAAAGGCCGGGGGGATCATGCCCTCTGAGAGCCAGGTAGAAGGGATGCTGGAGGATGTAGTCCTGATGACAAAAAAGGACGAAGGACTGGGAGTCAGCACTTTGTGGGCTCCCTGTGGGATTTCTGGGAGATGTAGTTCTAGAGCTGGAATGTTGTTTAAGGGATGGGTGGGGAAATGGGGGAGGGTGGAGCATGCTCAGTGTGGCTCGTAGGAGTCTGGGAGGTATAGGTAAGGGAGGGGGCGGTAGGGGAACTCCAGGGAGTAGGGGAGTAATTTAGACAGAGTTGGAGAGGAGGAGAGAGCATGCTCAAGTTGGCTCCTAGGGAGGAGGAAAAAGGAGGGGCTGGAGAGGGCCTGAGTAGGAAGAAAGAAGAGCAGGAGCATGCTCAGTGGAAAGGAGACGGTATGATTGAAAGGTGAGCATGCTCAGCATCTTGTCTGGGATGGGGGCTTCTGGGATTTGTAGTCCAAGGTAGGGGCAGAAACTTGAGTTTTACAAGGGGTAAAAGGCCTAACAGAGTTTCTCTACTTTCTACACTATCACCATCCCACCCACCTGAACAGATAAAAGGAGGAAGAGAGAAGCACCTGAAGAAGGTGAGTGGCGATAAATGATTGCCCTTTCCCTTTGAGGCCTCAGCAGATTGGAACTGGGTGTCCTATTCTGCCCCACCTTAGCCCTCCAGGTGCTCTGGATGAGAGCCAGGATGTTATAGCCTTCCATCTTGGGGCAAGATCTTAAGATCTAAGAGCTTGGGTGGGAAGGAGATCATGGCTTTCACCTACCATGGAAATAAAAATCTTAGCTGCTTGTTTTTCAACTAGTTCCTGGAGTTTGGAGAAGAGAAGTATGAGAAGTACAATGGAATGAGCTTGAAAAATCCTAAGGCTCAGCTGAAAGGTTAGCTAGTCCATGGCACTGACCTAAGATGAGCTAAGATGAACAATGATTGTCTGAGAGCCAACTCCACCACTTTACTAGCAGAATAATCACGGGCAAATCATTCAACTTGGCTTGAGTTTCAGTTTTCTTATACATAACATGAAGATAGTAATACCTAACCTGCCTAAGTCACAGAGTTGGTGTGAGGACCAAGAGTGTATGTTAAAACACTTTGTAAACTGGAACAGCCTAATGTGTAAAGGAAAAAAAAAGTAGGCTAGAAATTCAGGATCTGGGTTTGAGTCCCAGCCCTGTCCTTTTTACTAGCTGTATGATGGTAGGAAAATCACTCTACCTCTCTTAGCCTTAGTTTTGTAATCTATAAAATGGGGATAATAATACTTAATACTACCCACTTTACAGGGTTTTTGAGACTTTGTAAAGTAATACATTCTATAAATGTGAGGTATTATTTCTAAATGTGATAATGTAAGTGATTGTTAATACAGTCATCCAGTTTAAACCCCTCATGAGGAAACTGATGCCTTAGAGAGCTCAAATGGCTGTCTAAAGTTGTACAGCTACTTAGCGACAGAGCTGAGACCAGAACTTAGGTCTCTCGCTCTTTCGGTGTTCTCTGTGTACCATTCCATTCTGTTTCTTGTATTTTTATGGAAATGGGAGGCTGCCTGGTTCTTTTTTCAACTCCCTTGGGACTTTTTGAGGGTTCTTTAGGGTAGTCATTGAACAAGTATTTATTTCATCTGCTTTCTCTCCAGAAACCAAAGCCCCCTTCGGCATCTCCTGAGGGTCCTGCGGCCCCAGCCCCTTCCCCACAGCGGGAAAAGCTGGAGCGTTTCAAGCGGATGTGCCAGTTGCTCGAGCGGGTGCCAGATACTTCATCATCTTCCTCAGACTCAGACTCGGATTCAGACTCATCAGCTACGTCCCTCAGTGAGGATGAGGCCCCTGGGGAGGCCCGAAATGGGCGACGGCCCCCACGGGGCAACTCTGGGGAGAAGGAGAACAGGGGTGGCCGTCGGGCCTGGCGGCCTGGGAGTGGGGGCCCTCTGCTGAGCTGGCCCTTGGGTCCTGCACCCCCACCCCGCCCCCCACAGCTTGAGAGACATGTGGTGAGGCCGCCACCACGAAGCCCAGAGCCGGATACGTTGCCCTTGGTAGCGGGGCCTGACCACCCTCTACCACGGGCTGCCTGGCTTCGAGTCTTCCAGCACCTTGGGCCCAGAGAATTGTGCATCTGCATGAGGGTCTGCCGGACCTGGAGCCGATGGTGAGTGGTTCCTTGGATAGAGTATTACAGAAGTTGGACGGTGGTGCATCCTGGTTCCTAGCTGTGGTCGAATAGTAATAGGTACCCCATTCATTGGGCCAACTCATTTCACTTTTCTCCGTATTTCCTCTTTTGTCTGATAGACTGTGGGTGGGGTAAAAGGTCTGTAGAAATGGCTTTCTTGGTAAAGTGGATGGAGCTGAGCCTTTACCTATGTGTAAGTCAGCAAGCGTTAATTAACAAATGTTCCAGACATTGTGCTAAGCGACGGGTGTACAGAGAAAGGCAAAAGACAGTCCCTGCTCTTAAGGAGTTCACAGTCTAATGGGAAAGAAAGCATATAGCTATGTGCAGACAGGATAAATTGGAGATAATCGACAGAAGGAAGGAACTAACATTAAAGGGGTAAGGATCAGAGACTTTAGCTGAAACTTGAAGAAAGTCAAGGAAACTAGGGGAGGATATGAGGAGGGAGATATCCGAGCATGGGGAACAAGCAAATGAAAATGTCCGGAGTCAGAAGATGGAGTGTCTTGTTGAAGGAACAACATGGAGCCCAAACAACAAACAGCACTAGATCACAGAGTAGGTGGGGGTTGAGGGAGAGGGCATAGAGTATAAAAATACTGGAAAGAGAAGAAGGGGTATTTAAAAACCAAAGAAAGATTTTATAAGTAGACCGACATGGTCAGACTTGTGCTTTGAGAAGACCAGTTGACAGCTAAGTGGAGGATGGCCTGGTGTGGGGAGAGACTTGAGGCAGGCAGACACACTGCAGGCTGTTGTAGTTGTGAGGTGATGCTTCCCACCAGTCTGCACCTGGGTGGGGGGGAGCGGGGCAGTGTTAGACAAGGAAAAGGGGCAAGAGATGTGTAAGCAACATTCTCCTCCCTAAAGCCAGCACATTTTCCTCTTAAAATTTGTAAGAGATGTAGCCAAGCTGTAACTACTTCAGTCATTTGGAATGAACGAGAAGCAATAAATATTTATCAAGTCTTTGCTGTATGTTAAGTGCTAGAGGTACAGAGATTAAAAAATGACAGTCCCTACTCTCAAGGAGCTTATATTCTACTGGAAGAAGTAGGACAAAGTTGATGATAAATGGAAAAACTAGTATAATTCAAGGTAGGAAGTGTGAATTGGGGCATGGGAGAGAGCATCACATTCTCTAAGGAGAGTATATTTTCACTTGGGGGAAGGATCATGGAAGACTCACAGGAAAGGTGGCATCTGAGCTGAACTATGAAGGAAGATAAGGATTCTGAAGGTCACAGGAGGGGACTGGGGTGAGGATGGTCCGCTTGAATAAAAGTGGGAAATGGCACGTTAAGTTCAGGGAACTCAATTCTAGTTTGGACCATAGAACATATATGAAGGGGAGTAATTTAGAATAAATCTGGAAAGCTAGATGAGAACCAGATTACATAAGAACCTAAATGTCAGGATGAGGAATCTGTATTTTATCCTAAAGGCAATAGGGATCCACGGAATGTATTTTTTTTTAAAGCAGAGAATGAATGTGGCCTGATCTCTGTTTTAAGGAGATTTATTTTGGCAGCTGTGTGGAGGATGGATTAGAAGAGGGGAGAGGCTGGAAACAAATAAATTAAGAGCTATTTCAGACAAAAGGTGATGAGGACCTGGATTGAGATCATACGTGAGTGAAGAGGGAAGGACATGGATATGAGGGATGTCGTGGGGGTATTCATGTGAAGAACTTGACATTTGAATGTGTGTATGTGAGAAGAGGTAGAGGAAAGAATCAAAGATAATTCTTTAGTGTTTCAAACCTGAGTGACTTGGAGGATGGTGGAGCCATCAACAGAAAAAGAAAAAGTTGGGATTAGGGGTGGCAGGAACATGATTGCAGTCTAGGACAAGTTGAGTCTGAGGTACCTGGAGGACAGAGGTGTCAAACGTGAGGCCTGACTGCCACATTGTGGCCTGCAACATTCCTGAGTGCAGCTGAAACCATATTAAAATGTAATTGGGAAATATTTAACAAAATAAATAAAAATGTAATATAAATAGTGTTAACATGTGGTTTTCTAAGTCAATATGTGGCCCATAGAGAGATACTTATGTAGGGTTTAGTGGCCCCTATTTCTGTTTGAGTTTAATAACACTGCTTTAGGACATCCGGGGACAGATGACCAGTATGCCATTGGAAATATGGGGACTGGAATTTAGGGGAGAGATTAGGAGGGATATATAGATTTGGGAGTCATCTCCATAGTGGTGATAATTGAACCCATGGCAGCAGGTAAGATTATCAAGGAAGAATGTATAAAGAGAGAGAAGATAGGAACTAGGACAGAGCCAATAGGAGGTAGTTGCTAAATAAGGAAAGGAGCCTGAGAAGGAGCCGCCAGATAGGTAAGAGGAAACCTGGAGAGAGCTGTATTATGGAACCAAGGAAGGTGAGATTATCCAGGAGGAAGAACTGGTCTGCAGTGTTGAATGGTGCAAAAATAAATAAATAAATAAAAGAGGATGAAGAAAAGTCCATTGGCGTTAACAGTCAAGAAGTTATTGGTGACTGTTGAGAAGAGCAGTTTCAGTAGAATCCATGTTACGAGGACTTGAGAAGTGAATGGATATTTGGAGAGGAACTGGAGGTAGGGAGCGTAGACTGCTTTAATAGTTGAGCAGTGAGGGGATGGCAAGGTCAAGGAACAGTCTTTTAAAGATAGTCAGTAAGCATTTACTAAACACCTACGATGTGCCAGACACTGCTAAGCACTGCCAGGAGAGACCTAAGCATGCCTGTAGATGTTCAGGACTGAACTAATAGAAACTGAGAAAAGAAATGGTTGACGAGGGGGAAACCCCTGAAGGAGATAGGGTCAGGGGCTCAGGTGGAGGGGTTAGCTTTGGCAAGGAGAAAGGCCTTTGAGATTGAAGCAAAGGGGTGGTAAAGAGATAGTTTTGAAGTTTGGAGGAGGTAAAATGAGAGTATTCATGATAGATAACCTCAGTCTTCTCAGTGAAGTGTGAAGCAAAATCATCTGCTCCTAGAGATGGGGGTGAAGATGGATCTGGAGACTTGAGGAGAAAGAAGTTTGAAACACCTATTCTAAGAAAGTGTGATATAGTCATTCAGAGATGAACAAAAAGATTGTCATGCTGTCATGAACGCTCATTTGAAGTTAGCTAATATGAATTTGTGGGGAACTCAGTTAACATGGCTTTGTAACTTCCTTCATCAGCTTTGAGCAGCTTGGGAATAGAAAGAAGGTAGATAGTGAGGGGGATCTAGAAAGTTCACAGAGTGTGAACACTTCAAAGACAGGAGGGAAAGGGATTCAAAGATAAAGGACAATATCTTTTTGAACTTGTTAACCAAAGATTCTGAGCAGAGAGAGGTCAGAACAAAGGTGAAGGTATAGAAAACGAGGAAGGATCCTGTGATCATAGGACCAGAGGTCACTATCAAGAAAGAGAACGGGGACAGCTAGGTGGCACAGTGGATAGAGCACTGGCCCTGAAGTCAGGAGGCCCTGAAGTCAGGAGGACATGAGCTCAAATCCTGCCTCAGACCAAACACTTGACACGTACTAGCTGTCATTTAATCCCAATTGCCTTTAAAAAAAAAAAAAAAAAGAATGGGTTTAAGAGGTTCAGTAGGAGATGTGGAAGGACAGGGGATTGTGATCAGAGAAGAATTTCAGAATTCAGGGTCTTCAAGTAGAACAGTCTTGGGTGATGTTTGGTTCTAAACTGTGACTTGTTGGTAGCTGAGGTAGAGTAGTGAATGGAGTTCTGAAGATTGAGAACTTTGATAAACTAGGAGGCCAGGATGTTCAGAAGGTCATCAACATAAATATTAATGTCACCAGGGACAAAGAAGAGGGATTCTGGGTGGGGGAGAGAGACTTTCATCTCCATTAAGCTCATTGAGAAAAGAGAGAGAGTGATTTGGAGGTTGGTAGGGAGAGCAAAAAGGATCTAGGCACATGCTAGAGATGGATAATGTGAAGGACTTATTAAGTATCCACTACCACAGAGGTAGTATAAGTAGCAGTTAAAGAGCTGGCTTCAGAATCCAGGAAGGACCTGAGTTCTAACCCATCCCCATGCCTCATACTACTTGTGTGACCCTGGGCAACCTCTCAGAGCTCCAGGGAGCTCTCGGAGGCCGTCATTTGCAGAGAAATGCTGGTCTCTATTGGTAGAAGAAATTAGAGGAAAATCTTCCCTGGGAACGCTCTCCACTCATAAAAGCATGGGCTCCAGGGAAAAAATGTGCAGGGCCCCTCAACTCTGCTTACTCTCTGCTATGTATTAAGGATACAAAAAGGAGTAAGACATGGTTCCTTCCTTCTAGGAGTTTATAATCTAATTGGGGAGCTAGGATAGGGGCACAAATAATTATAAGAGATACCAAAGAAAATTAAGATATCCCATAAGTAAGAAATTGCTTAAGTCTACTAAGACTTAAGCTACTTTATTTGCTTTAAGTACTTTAAGTATTTCTTTGCTACTTCATTATTTAATAGACATTTATTAGCTGTGTGACCTTAGGTAGGTTATTCTCTAGGCCTCAGTTACCTGTTCTGTTAAATAAGGGGGTTGGACTAAATGATCAGTGACCTCTAAGATCCCTTCCATTTCTACAGTCTATGATTCTGTTATTTTGGCTTGGGAGTTGAGGGAGGACTTCATGAGGAGGAGGATATAGGAATATCAGAGTAATGGAAGATAAAGCCAGAAAGGGGCAAGGTAGTGGAGCGCATTAAATGCTAGCCTAAGGAGTTTGAACTTTGTTTTCAGTAGGCAAAGCAGTTTGAGGTTTTTGAGTAAGGAAGTGATATACATTAATTTGGTTAATCTGGATGAATTAGTTTTAGGAGAGACCAAGGGCTATTGCAATAGACCTGGAAAGAGGTCCTGAGGCCCTGACCTGAGGCATTGAAAGTTAAAAGGAGGATGAGGGTATGAGATTACAGGAGAACTGACAGGACTTGACAAATGTTGGGTGTTGGGGGAGAGGAGGAGTTAGAAGATGACTTCTGAGGCTTGGATTCAGGATAAACTGGAGAAGTGATGATGCCATTAATAGAAATGGAGAAGTCAGGAAAGCGATTTGGTGGAAAGATAGTGTGTTTGACTGTTAAGTTTGAGAGGCCTGGGGGACATCTAGGGAAAGATGTCTGTCATACATTTGGTAATCTTAAATAAGTAAGAACTGAAGATAGAGTCACGAAGACAGCAGTGAAAGTTGTTGGGTTGAAAGAATGTAGAGAGAAGGATGACGGGACAGAGGATGGCAAGACTTGTGGGGCTCAGGCCTGCGGGATGGATTGCTGGGCTGCTGCTGCCCCAAAGCTGGGCGGAGGGTCTTTCCCCGTAGCTGTTCTCTCCCTCTTTATAAGAGCATCCATTAGATCATTAGTCCATGAGGAGGAGAGACAGGTGAGGGGTCAGAGGGAAGAAAGAACGTTGGCGAGAGTCCTGGGAGTCAGGATGTGATGTGTCAGGCCCTCAACAGGGCAGTGAGAGGGTCTCCTGGACCCAGCTGAGCCTCATTGTGGCTTTTGGTCTCTCTCTGCCCCTTGTGGCTCCCAGGTGCTATGACAAACGTCTGTGGCCCCGAATGGACCTGAGCCGAAGAAAATCACTAACCCCACCAATGCTGAGTGGTGTGGTCAGACGGCAACCCCGGGCCCTGGATCTCAGCTGGACAGGAGTTTCTAAGAAGCAGCTCATGTGGCTCCTGAACAGGCTGCAAGGTACGAAAGTAGGGAAAGCCAAGATAGAGGGCTGATTGGGGTGGGGGTGGGGTTGGGGTCCAGGGCGGGGTGGGGGGGCGGGGACGGACTCCATGGGGCTGAAAGTTTGAACCTATGCCTTGTCCCACAGGCTTGCAGGAGCTGGTGCTGTCGGGCTGCTCTTGGCTCTCAGTCTCAGCATTGGGCTCAGCCCCGTTGCCTGCACTGCGGCTTTTGGACCTCCGTTGGATTGAGGATGTTAAGGACTCCCAGCTCAGGGAGCTACTGTTGCCTCCACCCGACACCAAACCAGGTGCTGCCTCTTAGAAGGCTCTAGTTTTCAGGCTCTTTCAAGGTGAAATCTCTCCCATTTCTGTCTACATCCTATTTATTCATTCATTTATTCATCAAACACCAGATGAGAACCTGTTGAGTGAAAGCTTATCCAAAGAGAAATAAGAATTGTCCTTTTTCTGATGGTGCTCACTTTTGAAGTTGAGAGTTGAGATCCTGACATGTATTACTAACACTAGGTTGGATGTGATCGATACTATGAGATCACAAAAACAGCACTATGTTCAAGGAAAGGCAGGCTTCTTCTGCCTTGACTGCTTGGCACAGGCTTGATGAAGTAGGTGGGATTTAAGCTGGGATTTGAAGGATGGGTCAGCTTTCATCAAGTAGCTATTAGGGGATGAGAATGATGGTGAAAGTTTTGGGGAGGAATCACAGGTAAATTGTAGAAGCATAGTCCAGCACTCTCAGTCTAAAGATAAGGGAACTGAGGATGAGAGAAGTTACATGTGGACTTTAGGTCACACAAATAATAAATCTCAGAATTCGGTTTCAAGTACTCATGTTCTGTCTCCAAATCTAACACATTTTCTTCCATTCCACTCAAATTCTAGACAGAAGGAATGGTATGAGTAAAGGGTGAAAAGTAGAAAATTGCGGTCTGTGTTTGAGAATTGAGAATAGTTCCGTTTGATCAATAATACTTTAATTCTGTGTGACACTTTAAACTTTCTAGGCACTTTCATATCCATTATCTCTTTTGAGCCTTATAATAGCTTTGTAAAGAAGATAGAGTAAGCATTAACAGAACCAAAAAATTTCAGAGTTGGAGAGAACCTCAGAGGTCATGTAGTTGAACTCATACATGAAAAGGAAACTCCTTTGTAACAGTCTCAAAGAATAGTCAGCTTCTTCTAAAAAACCTCCAGTAATGGGAAACTCATTATTTCTCAATGCTGCCGATTTCACTTTTTGACAGTTCTTAATTGTTAGGGACTTTTCGCCATGTCACACAGTACAAGTGTCATCCATTTTGTTGTTGTTCATTAGTTTCAGTTGTGTCTGATTTTTTTGTGACCCCATTTGGGGTTTTCTTGCCAAAGATACTGGAGTGGTTTGCCATTCCCTCTTCAGCTCATTTTACAGATGAGGAAACTGAGGCAAACAAGGTTCAGTGACTTGCCCAGGGTCACACAGCTAGTAAGTGTCTGAAGTCATAGATGACCTCAGGTCTTCCTCAGTCCACCATACCCGCTAAGTGCAAACAACAACAGCACCAAGTATCACTCATTGAGGACAAGCAAGACGAGTCTAATCCATCTTCCACGTGTCAGTCTTTCAAAAACTTGAAGACAACTTTTATGTTCCTTCTCCTGCCCCCCTTTAGTTCACTCTTTTCTAAGTTTCGAAATCTTTGAACTGATTTTTGTACATGATTTTGAACTCTCCTCACCATCCTGATCATTCTCCTTTGGATACACTTCAGCTTGTTAATATTGTTGCTAAAATGTAGAATTTAGAACTGAACACAGTATTCCAAATGGTGCTGGACCATCATGGCCAGACTATAAGCTTGCCAGCGCAGTATGTGTTGTGTTTGTACTAATTCAACCTAAACTTGCACTGGTGTTTTTGGCTAGCAAACAGTAAGCATTTATTAAGCACCTACTCATGTGCCAGGCACTATTCTAGGAGCTGAGGAAATATACAAAAGGGAGGCAAAAAAGTGCCTTCAGGGAGCTTCCGTTCATCCTGTTAATGCTGTTCACTTCACATCAGAGTTGCTAGTCCAGGGGCAGCTAGGTGGCGCAGTGGATAGAGCACTGGCCCTGGAGTCAGGAGGTCCTGAGTTCAAATCCAGCCTCAGACCAAACACTTGACATTTACTAGCTGTGTGACCCTGGGCAAATCACTTAACCCCAATTGCCTAAAAACAAACAAACAAACAAACAAAAAAAACAGTTGCTAGTCCTCCCTGAAGACATGTCTGGTGTGAGGACTTGCCAAGCCCTTTTTAAGGCTGCTCATTGGTGTCCACCTGTTACCCAACTCTCACCTATAGCTCCAAGAAGTGGTCCCATGAACAGCCACAACCTGGTAAAACCAGGTTGAGGCCTCAAACCCATTGGTGAATTAGGGGGGGGTGTTTACCCCAAGCATGTGAAAGCTTTCCCAGTGGAATGGGCAGATGAGAACAATTTGTTCCAGTGGCCATGAAGGCAGCTGAAGCAGCCACTGTGGGGCACTTAGGGCTTGGTCATACATTGAAGACCAAGATTACCCACTGCATCCCCAGGCCATCACCAGTTGTGTTGACTTTTGCCCTGCCACTGGACTTTGATGACTGGAAGAGAGAGTGAGGCTGACACTTTGGGCAACTCTGCCTTACTTAAATCCAGGTCACAGGCAAGTGAGAACATTACCCTGTGGTGTCATTGGTCCTCTTGGAGGGATAAACAACATTACAATGAGCTTTCAGTCTACTAAAACCTCTTAAATTTTTTTTCCCACACAAACTAGATCTGTGATAATCTGTGAATTAATACAGTTAATTTTTTGAACTAAGTATACAACATTTATTTTAGGTTCATAGGATTATCTGTTCTTTCCCCCTAAACCTTTTAAAATAGTTATTCATATTTTAATATATCCCTCTCCTCTGCCACTCCTATAAAGTCATCCTTTATAACAAAGGGGGGAGAAAGAGGAAAAAAATAACCAACACATCAGACAAGTCTGACAGTATATGCAGTATTCTATATCCACAGCTCCCCACCTCTGCAAAGAAGGGAGGTGCATTCTTATATCTCTTCTTTGGGCCAAACTTGGTCATTATAATTTCATAACATTCAATTTTGGTTTTATTGCTGCTGTTCTTTCCATTTGCACTATTGCAGCCCTTGTATATATTTTCATGGTTCTGATTTCTTTACTTTGTATCAGTTCATGTAAAGCTTCCCATACTTTTTATATTCATCATTTCTTAAGGTGTGGTATGATATTCTACATATTCCTGTACCACAATTTGTTTAGCTATATATAGACATCTTTGTTTCCATTTCTTTGCTACTACAGAAAGTGCTATTATCAATATTTTAGTGTATTTAAGTAATTAGTGTATTTAGCGCCTTTCTTCTGATATTTAACCTCTTTGGGACATGCATGGTGCCTTGCAGTGGACTCTGGATAAAGAGTTTGGACATTTTAGTCCCTTTCTTAGCATAATTCTAAATTGTTTTCCAGAATGGTTGGACCAATTCAGAATTACACTAACAATTTACTAGCGTGCCTGTGTTTTGAAAACCATTCCAACATTGACTATCCTCATCTTTTTTTTCTGACTATCCCCATCTTTGCCAATTTGTTCAATGTGAGGTAAAATTTCAGAGTTGTTTTGATTTCCACTTCTCTTATTATTCATGATTTAGAATAATCTTTCATATGGTTGTTCATAGTTTTGCAATTCTCTTTCACAAGTGAACTGAACTGTTCAGATCCTTTGACTGCTTGTCATTTGGGGAATGGCTTTTATTCTTATGTTTATTTTAGTCTTATATAGATCTTGGAGAGCTGAACCTTCTCAGAGAAATGATGCAAAGATCTTATTGATGAATAATTTATATTATTTAATAGAATTAATATCTGAGGAGTATTCCATCTATGTCTTCATGTAAGGCACTGATAAAAATGTTGAGCAGAATTGAACAGATCCTTATGGCATTCCACTAGTGACTTTCCTCTAGTTTGATATTATTCCATTAGTTGCCACACTTTGGGTCTGATTGATAATTCACCCAGTTCTGAATACCAGCCGTACCATTATCTAATCACATATCTCTAACATGTTCACAAATGTCTCTTGAGAAATTTTTTCAGTTGCTTACATGAAATCCATCTATACTACAGCTATGTCAATCTGCCATTCTAGTGAGTATGTCAAAAAAAGGAAATGAAGTTAGTCTGCCAGGACTTCCTTTTTCTTGTCTTTGAAAAAAAAATGTTATTGATGCCTTTCTTTTATACTACAAAAATTTCTTGATCTGTCTTCTCCTTACCCCCAAATAGATCTCTCCCTTATAACAAAACAAAACAAAAACAGGTAAGCAGAACCAAGGGGCAACGGAACCAAAGTATGACTTGTTTTGATAGAAATCTATAATGACTGTTACCTTCTTTTCTAAGAGCTTATTAAGCCATCTCTTTACTAATGAGCTCTAGAGTTTTGTCAGGAACTGAAGTCAAGCTCACCAGCAAGTAGTTGTAAGAATCTGTCTTCTCATTTTTGAAAACAGGCATACTGTTTGTCTGTCTGGTTTTCAGTGTGTCTCATCCTTCACAGTTTTTGAAGATCACCAGTAGCAGCTAAGCAGTCATGTCATCCTGTTCTTTCAGTTCCCTGGAATTTAATGCATTTAGGCCTGCTGATGACTTTAACTCATTGAGAGCAACTATGTGCCTTTTTCCTTCCTCCTTACCTATCTTGAGTTTCCTTCCCTGTTAATCACTTTTGTCCTTTTTTTTTTTTTCCCGAGGCACTTGGAGTTAAGTGACTTGCCCAGAGTCACACAACTAGTAAGGGTTATGTGTCTGAGGCCAGATTTGAACTCAGGTCCTCCTGATTCCAGGGCCGGTGCTCTATCCACTGCACCACCTAGCTGCCCCTTGTCCTTTATTTCTTGGTGTGAACATCATTCTCCTTGGTAGAGAAAAACCCACAGTACAATAGGAATTGAGTAGTTCTACTTATTATTGCTTCATCTGTTATCCCATCTACCCTAAGCAATAGTCCTGTCCCTTTTTAAAACTGTCCTTCCAGGGGCAGTTAGATGGTTCGGTGGATAGAGCACCAGCCCTAGAGTCAGGAAGATCTGAGTTCAAATATGGCCTCAGACACATAACACTCACTAGCTGTGTGACTCTGGGCAAGTCACTTAACCCCAGTTGCCTCACTAAAAGCAAAAAAAAAAAAAACCCAAACTGTCTTTCCTCTTGCCCCCAACATAGCTTTAAACCAGTTATTTGTAAGAAAACTGAGGGCCATGGGGCAGCTAGGTGGCACAGTGGATAGAGCACCGGCCCTGAAGTCAGGAGGACCTGAGTTCAAATCCGGCTTCAGACCAAACACTTGACACTTACTAGCAGTATGACCCTGGGCAAGTCACTTAACCCCAATTGCCCCCCGCCCCAAAGAAAAAAACAACTGAGGGCCAGAGAAGCAAAGTGACTTAACCAAGGACATAGGCTATTCAAAGGTGGGGCTAAGTCTCTGACTCCCAGCTCACGGTTTTTTTCTGTTCCACCACACTAATTATTCAGCAAGTCTTCACGTCGCTCCAGTTGTGATCAGGGTGCTTTCAGTGTCCTCCTCAGGTAGCTTTCAGTACAATTGAATGTTTGGGAATTATGCGCTTGAAACATTAGCATATAATACCATGTATTACTAGTTCAGGGCCACATAACTGATATAGAAAATGTGCTAAGAGTTATGAAAACAAAGAGATCACTTTGGGATAAGCAGGATTTGGAGTGCTTGAGCCTAAAGAATGGTGATTAATAATAATAATTATTATTATTATCCCTATCACTATCTGTGTAGTCCTTCAGATTTTTCAAAACAATTTCATATCCATTTCTAGTTTGCACTTCCTAATACCTTTCTGAGTAGACAGAATAAGTTGTTTCCTATAAAATTGTTTGCCTTTGAAATGAAGGGTTCCAGCCGGGTGATCTCCAGGTTCTAGGGGGCCAACTTTTAAAAACAGTACCCCTATTTTACGGATGAGAAACCTGAGGCTCAGAGAGGTGTAAAGTGAAACAATGTTATAGTAGAGCTGAGACCAAGGCTTGGGATTTTTTCCATTCCATCAATTCTGTTAGAACTTAGCTGAGTGGAGAGGATGCCACAGGGTATTTGGGGTAGGGGAAGAGTGTGAGAAAAGGTATGGCTGTTCCCTTCAGTAATTTACATCTTAATCTGTCCTTCCCAAGCTCTCTCAGCCCCTGTTCTGAACTACCTATATGTGTGTTGGGATGGGAAGCATAGATGCTAGGGTTCTGATTAGTACCCCTGGGGAAAGAGAATAAAGATTCATCTAGGGCCTGACTCCCTCTCCTGTACCTCTAGGCCAAACAGAGAGCAGGGGACGGCTGCAGGGGGTGGCTGAGCTGCGCCTGGCTGGCCTGGAGCTGACAGATGCCTCCCTCCGCCTTCTCCTACGCCATGCTCCCCAGCTCAGTGCCCTTGACCTCAGCCACTGCGCCCATGTTGGGGATCCCAGTGTCCACCTCCTCACAGCCCCCACCTCCCCACTCCGGGAGACCCTTGTTCACCTCAACCTAGCGGGTAAGCAACCCTCACCCCTTTTCCTGCTACCAGGAGCTCCTCAGCCCTCACTGGTAGCTTTGCCCCCTCCCCACAGTGAGCCCCATGTCAGCCGCTGCCACCCTTAGGTTGCCACCGCCTCACGGATCATTGCCTCCCGCTCTTCCGACGATGCCCCAGACTTCGACGCCTGGACCTTCGCTCCTGTCGCCAACTCTCACCTGAAGCCTGTGCCAGGCTGGCAGCTGGAGGTCCCCCTGGTCCCTTCCGATGCCCTGAGGAGAAGCTGCTGCTCAAGGACAGCTAGTGGGGTGCCCCCCAACTTCCCCCAGGACTTGCAAGCCTTTATCTTGGGGCCCCTTTCCCCATCTCCCCAATCCATCACCCAGGGGCTGGGTCTCTCTACCTTCTGACTTGATTCTCCCACATAGAGACTCAAGAACAACCCTCAACCCCCTGCACTGATATATCCCTGGGGGTTAATGTCTTCTCCTCCCATGCCCCTGCCTACTTCATTGTCCTGGGGGAAAGTGGGGCAGAGGTACTGATGTGGGGGAGGGACTGGGGGGCTTGAAAGGAGGGGGGAAGTTTAGGGGGGCAGCATTTAGGTGGAGGGGATTGGGAATGTGGCTGGGGAAGGTTCTGGTGGTGGGGCAATCTGCACATTGCTACTGGGTATCCAGGGGATGGGGAAGGCAGTGGGGGGAGGGGCGGTAACCAGACAAACAGAAACTGAAGCATAAAAGGGAACAAAGACCACGTATTTGGGGGAGGGTGGGGGAGGGTGAAAAAGGGAAAACAGGAAGTGGGAGAAACGGGTGTGAGATTGAGGGCAGCTCAAAGGAAACAACTAAAATTGGGGTTGGGGAAAGAGGGATGAGGTGAGGCTGTAGAGGGAAGGAGGGGGATGGGAGCAAGCTATGGGGGAGCATCAGGCAGGCCAAGGGCTCCCCTCTTCCCATCCTTATCACCCTAAGACTCTGTCCCTTCCTCTCCCCTCTCCAACTCTTGAACCGTCACTGACATGGCAGCTAATTGTGGAGGTGGGGGGAGGACGGGGCCTTTACTGCTGTACAGGGAATTGGGGCCCTGCCAGGGGAGTGAGGGATCTCTAGACCACCCCACTTCCCTGAAAAATACTTGAACATTCATCTGTACTGAAGTGTTACTTGAACTTAGGGAACTTTGGGGATGGGGAGGTGGGAGTTTGGGGGAGGGGAAAAGGGGTGGGGAAGTTATCAGTTTGGATTGGGTCATTGGCAATTTGGACTGGGACATTCCCAGCCTTACTCTTACTGTATCTATCCTCTCCCACCCTCCACCAGGGGCCAGACAGCCAGTGATGGGGAGAAGGGACTCCCCAAAACTGGTTATTTCCACCCCTTTTGTTGTCATGGAAACTTGCATCCCATTTGCCCAGGGAAATGCCACTCCTGGTTGCCAAGGAAATAGCAGCCAATGGACACACTCCCAAAGCCAGTGCCCCAGCTGGAAAGGCCCCTCTAGGTTGCCATGGGAACTTCCAGGGTTTTTTTTTTTTCCTTTCTCCTCTCCTCTCTTTTACTCATCCCTGTCACTATAGTAACAGCCACTCCCCCTGAAACTCCACCCAAGAGGCGTGGCTTGGGGGGGGGTGTCTCTGCAGCTAGCTCCGCCCTGTGGGTTTGTCCTGGGGAAGATACCCCAAGCCCCAAAGGGAGGAGTGGCTGAGGAGGCTATCCTTAGGCCACATGGACTAAACCACTTGGGAGAGAGTGGGGAGGGCAGAGGGCAGAGTGAACCACATACCTCAGGTAACAGGGAGGGAAAAGGATTGGGGGGAGGGAGGGAAAAGGTGGACCAAAGGCCGGGAGGGAGGGGGTTTAGGGGGAGGGAGAGTCAGTCTGGAGATGGAGCTAGAGAAGATTTGAAGGATGAGGGCACACAAAGGGAAAGGGATAAAATGGGAACAAGGGGAGTGGGCTGGGCTGGGCCCCAGGCCCCCTGGATCTCGGAATTGTACAATATGGTTTGCTATAAAACATAAAATCTTCCAGCTGAGGGCTGTGGTGTGTCTATTTTGTTGAAGTAGAAAGGTGGGGTACTTTGGGAGGAAACCTAAACTCCTGGGCCCTGAAAGTGTGAGCACTGTCGGGAACGTAAAGTGAGTTCCTGAACTGAAACAGAGATTGGACTAGCTAAATTCCACGGTCTCTTCGTAACACTTAGGATGTTAAGAATACTCCAATCTCACTCTCTGCCCTAAGCTTAAGATTTTGGCCGAGTTGATTTTTATGGGACTTTGTCCCCATAAGATTTAACTCTTCTGACCCAGAGGGGAGGAGGCATATCTAAGATGCAGGTTTTTGCTGCGTCTGTGTCCATCCGTCCTCCATGCGGTGCTGGGGTGGGGGAGTGAAGGGAAGTAACCTGGTTTCATTCAACCAAGATTCCCGAGTGCTGTAGAGGGTAGCTCAATGCAGACACATTTCTGGGTCTTTGGGCCAGAGTATTCGGACTGTGGATTTGGTCTCTCCCCAGCTCCTCCCTCATCATGTGGCTGCGCCCCCCCCCGTCCCCGCCCCTAGATCCAGTTCCTGTTTCTGCCTCTCCTGCTTCTCAGCCCCTGGGGCTCCCGCCTCCTACTCCTCTAGGGCCCTCTTTGCCCGAGGCTCTAAACTGACTTCTTCCTTCTGGGAACCCAAGCATCCTAACTCCATCTAGTTCAGATGCTCCCCTTTCCTTTCCTTTCCCTACCGCCCACCCCACTTCTAGAGCTGACCAGCAAACTCAGGATGCCCAGGGGCTCTCCCCTATTTCCTTTTAATTCTTAAAACTATCCCTGCGCCGGCATAGCTTCTTGGCCTCCCATCCTGAATCAGCGGGTTCTGCTTTGCTCCCCCTTTCTTAGGAATCAGGTGGTCCAATTTCTAGAGCCTCTCCCCTTTAGGCTTAGCCCCTGCCTCAGCTCCGGGGTCTCTCCTTCCCCCCCTCCCCATTTGCCTGGATTCTCCAGGATGCAAGGAGGAGAGGGGGATGCAGGAGAACAGGCCCCCCTTAACCCTGAGGCTGGAGAGAGCCCTGGAGGTTCAGCCACCTACCGGGACTTTGTGCATCGAGGCTACCTGGACCTCATGGGAGCCAGCCAACATTCATTGCGGGCCCTTAGCTGGCGCCGCCTCTACCTCAGCCGAGCCAAACTGAAGGCCTCCAGCCGAACATCTGCCTTGCTCTCCGGTTTTGCCATGGTGAGGAGGTTGCTTCTAGAGACATTGGGGTGAGGGAGCGTTGGGGATGGAGCAGTGGAGGGAGGAGGTAAGGGAAGGATAGTGGGGAGAATAAAGGTTAGTGCTGGATGGGGAGGATGATAGGGCCCCAGAGCCGGAGGTGCTCCGAAGGCTGCCAACCCTGGGTGTGAAGAGTCAGAATCCGGATGTGGTTCAGGGGGTGGGGAGGATGGCCACAGCCAGGGCTGATAACTGAGTGCAGGTCTGACTCTTAGAGCCAAGCAATAATTCCTGTGGGGTGAGAACAGCACCACCGGGTGAGACTGCCCCGAGCTTAGGGAGTTTGAAGCTATTTGAGAAGAGATCTGGCCAGAAAGCTTTGGAATGCAGATCAGGAGGGTGATAACTGATCTGGAAAGTGATAAGGAGTACAGGATGGAAGAATTGTGGAGCTACAAGGGGCCTTAGAAATCATCTAATCTAACTCCTTCATTTTACAGCTGGGGAGACTGAAGTTATAGAGAAGTGGCTTGCCCAAGGTCACCCAGTGAGTTAGATAGAATGCAAATCTCCAGACTAAAAGACCAGTACAGTATCCTTTCCACTGTGCCAGGAATGAGATGGGAAACTTCATAACCTGATGGAGGAAGACAAGTGGCAGTGTCATTCTGATGAAAGAAAAGGGACAAAATTCAGGGGTCAAGACTTAGGTAGAAAGCTCTAAGTTGGGAGTTAGCAAACCTAGGTTCTTGTCTGAATTCTGTCATTAATTCACAAGGGACTTTACCTCCCTGGGCCTCAATTTCCTCCTTTAAAATAGAGGGGTTTGACAAAATTGTGTCTCTGAAGGGGTGAAAAGTGTGTATGGGGGGGGGTAGGTAGAGAAAGGCCAAGGGTTAATCCAAACTGGTTATCACATATATTCCTTGTTTTATTCCCTCCCCTCCTCCTCCCCCCCACCCCATGTTTCTGCCTGTTCAGAGAAGGACCAGGATAAATTTTTGAGGACCAAGGCAACCTAGAAGGCGGTGTTGGGGGAAAAGAAAGGCTCGGCCTGCTAAGGAGAGTAGTAGTTACTGAAAGGGTAAAAATGTGGATTGTGGAGGATGGTGTTAATCTCACAGAAGAATAGGGCACCCCTGCAGGTAGGGCCTATAACAAGGCTAAAGCAAATCTTAGCCCTAAGGCCTGAACTTGTTCCTAGGGAGACAATCCAGTCCCTGCTGCCATGTTACTGAGGTGACGGCTTAAGGGACCTGGCCCTCCTGTAAGGGCAGGAGAACTGATGTCTGGATTCACAAGGGGAAATGTAGCCCAGGGTAGAGAATTTATTCTAGTCTGGAAGGCAGATTACTAAAATTTTAATGGAAAAGAAGGGCTGGGTAAGGGGATGGAGAAAGCAGAGAAATGGGAGCAGGGTACTAGGATAATCATCAAAGGGGAGGGGAAGGGCTTCTGGTTGCATTTTCTCTGATGAGACTGGCCCAGATCCCTATCTTTGAGCAGTACCTGTTGCCATCTGCTATGTCCCAATTTCCTAAAATAACTGGGTCTGAAGTATTCCCCTCCCCTCACACTTTTCCTACCTTCTTACCTGGCTCCCTGCCCTCCTTCCCTCTCCTTTCCTTTCCATCAAGCTCCAGAGTAATTGGTAAACCCTAGAAGATCCAAAGAGGGAATATAGCTAGAAAGACAGATGTCCTGGGTTCTGTGAAGGGAGTAAAGCCTACCAGCTGGGTCTAGGTGGGGAGGCTGGGGAGTTAGAAACCAGGTCCCTGAACCCCTGACTGTCCTCTCTAGGTGGCCATGGTGGAGGTCCAACTAGAGACCGACCACGACTACCCGCCGGGGCTGCTGGTGGCTTTTAGCGCCTGTACCACAGTGCTGGTAGCCGTTCACCTCTTCGCCCTCATGGTGTCCACCTGCCTGCTGCCCCACATTGAGGCCGTCAGCAACATTCACAACCTCAATTCTGTCCACCAGTCTCCCCATCAGCGACTCCACCGCTATGTGGAGCTGGCCTGGGGGTTTTCCACAGCCTTGGGCACTTTCCTTTTCCTAGCTGAAGTGGTCTTGGTTGGCTGGGTGAAGTTCATGCCCATTGGGGGGCCTACGGTGGCCCCTGTGCCTGAGATCCCTTCCTCCTTGACCTCAAGAGGTCCAGAAAGCCATTTACCTGATGCACCAACCTCCACGGGCCCAAATCCTGGACTATCCCTGACAGAGCCAGTGGTCCCCTTGAATCCCCCAACCGTGACCTCAGTCTCGCAAACGCCACCTAGAGTTGGACCCTCGGCTGTGACCTGCTCGCAAAGGTGTGAGGGGCCAGTGGCCTCACCACATGGGCCTGGATGGCATGCTGCAATGGCCTCAACAGTGATCATGGTACCTGTGGGCCTGGTTTTTGTGGCCTTTGCCCTCCACTTTTACCGATCTCTGGTCACTCATAAAACAGACCGGCACCAGCAGGAGCTGGAAGAGCTGAGCCGCCTCCAGGGAGAACTTCAGGCCGTTTGAAGTGAGAGAAAGCAAGGGAAGAAACAGGGCTTTGGGAAGAAGCAAATGGAAGAGGAAGCAGCAATGGACTAGAAGGGGCCCCAGCAACAAAACTACAGGTGGGCCCTGGAACGAGGCCCCTGGCAGCCGTGGGCCCAGAGGAAGAGCCCTATCACAAAGTGGAAAAATGCATTCAGGCAGAGGGACATGATTTCCTCCCCCTCTTCCCCATAGCTCTGAAAACAGTGGGGAGGGTCAGGTCGGGCTGAGCTCTCAGGGAGATCCCAGGGACACACAGCACCACCCAAGTGGTTTTCTCTAAGCTGAGCGCCGATTCCCTTGCCTTCCCTTTTCCATAGGGCCTGGAGTGGCTTGGTATATTCTGAGGCCCTCCTCACAAAGGCATCTTCTTCAGAAAAGTATACATTTGATCCACAATGGTTTTTGTATCAATGACAACTTCTCAGTGGCAGCTCCTAAAGTATTAGCTCCTCCCCTTTCCTAGGTTCTCTCCCAGTAGATTTATGCTTGCTGGAGGAATTCTCAAAGCCACAGCCAACTTCTCTGAGGAATCCCCCAAGCATGCCATTTAAGGAAGCCTTTCAGGACTGTCCAAGTTTTATCTTGATCCTACCTCTTGAGCTCCAAAGCTGTGGGGTGGAGGTAGGTTCTCCTTAGGGTACAAGACTTGTCTCCTTACCCCCTGCCTTGGAACTGTGAGTCACCTTTCCACTTGGGTAGATCCTACAATGCTGACCTACAACTTTTACGTTTTATTTTCAAGTTCTTAGGAGTCCTAGGGATAGGTCACACAACACTGCCTCCAAATTGGAGGGCCCCCTCCAGTTGCCTCTTTATTTTAAGTACTGCCCCAAGGCTCTAATGCATCAGAAGAAATTGCCTTACCTCCAAACACAGCCTTTTTTTCCTGGTCTTTGTGGCAACATCACCTGTCCCTCTCAAAGTTCCATCTTTCCCTCCTCCTGACCAGAGTGGGAACAAGGGAGAGGGGCTGGTAAAGGGGGAACAGAGAGATAGGCTTCCATGGAAGAGGTCCTGTCCAGTCCCAACAATCATAGCCCACATAGGCTTTGCCTCACACTAAGCACCCCAGGGATCCTTCCCCTTCCTCTGTAATGTTGGTGGATCAACTCTGACACTGAATTTTCACTGCACCTTTTTTTTGTACAATAAACCTTGTTTGAAACCATCACTGTGGCTGTGGAGGATAGACTAGGGCTGGCTCTCTATCTTGGAAGGGAAGAGCAATAGGTGGGAACGTTATTCCTGGTTATTGAAGAGCAAGGGCAGAGAGTGTTACAATGAGGACAGAGGCTGGGAAAATGGGGTTTGGGTTCTACGTTCCAGGAAAGGAGTGTGCCTTGGTGGGGAGGGAATGAAGTGGGGTAAAGAGCAAAGGGGTTGCTGTTACATAGAGACAGCAGAAGACCCAGCAGGTTGTGCCAGAGAGGGAAGCTTCCAGGCTTAATGAAGATGGCAACTTAAGTCTTGAAAACTTAAACTAATACCAAGTCATTCTAAGGCTCAGAGATGAGCAGAAAAGATTCAACTCCAAGGAGGCTGAGCCGAGGAGGCTAGAGGTGGGAGCGTGGGATAGACAGGCTGAGCTGGTTAGAGGAGGTGGGCTACAAAAAAGGTAGCAATTGGAGATGAAGGATTGGACTCACAGGGCCTAGCCTCACCAGCAGGGCCAGGCCGACAAATGGGGATACAGCCTGGGGTAAGGTTTCCAGATGTGATGGTCTTGGGCACCTCCCTTTACTGTCTTCAAGGTCCTAGTTTAGCACATTCCCCACTATCTCTGACATCTCTTGGAAGCAAGAGTGGCTTCTTCCTTCTCTGTCCTGGGGAACTGTAGCCTTCAACTTTCTAATCCCTGACCTGTCCCAATGCAAATGCAAAGAGGCCTAGGAAGGGGGACTGTCAATAGGATCTTCAGGTGTCTATGCTGAACCTTATTTTCTTTTCATCAAGAAACTGGGAATGGAGGAAAAATGGGGATCGTGATAATTGATAGTTTGGGAAAATATTCCTAGACTTTTTTGGCAGGGGTTGGGGGGAGGGTGGGGGACAGGTTGCTCCAACCCTTCCCCCCCCCAAGTTTTATTGCATGCCCTCTAGATCCTAAACTTTTTTACTCTGTCTTCCAAAACAAGCGGCCATTCCACTATTGTTCCTCATTTTTTCCCGAAAGGTCATAGGATTCAGAGAGAAAAGAACCTGGGAGATCATCTAGCCTCCGTCCTTTAGGAGATGAGACAGTAAACTCAGGGAAGGGAGATGCTTTGTCAAGGTATTCAAACTCCTGACCCCAGTGTTCCTACCATGCCAATCCTCCTTGGCTGGGTAATGACTTCACACCTAGATCACACTGAACAGGTGCGGGGTGAATTATCCCCCTTTCACTGATAAGAAAGCTGAGGCTAGGAGAAGTGGTCACGCTCGCTCAAGGTGTTTGTTCAAGGTCAGAGCCAGTGAGCAGCGGAGCCCACAGTTCCAACACTGATGTCAAAAGCACCACTGTCATGGCCACAAGACCCACGTGGGAAGGGCGGGTAGGTTTTGGGCTTGACCCGGGACTTCGGAAAGAACTTACCCCCTCCCGCCGCCACAACTCTTCGCCCCGCCCCCCCGGCAGGCCGTGCCCCCCCAAGCCCCGCCCCTTCCGCTAGTTGCCCGACTCCCGCTCGCAGATTCGCATTCCTGTCAAGTACCGGGATGGGGATCTGCAGATTCGTCCCTCCGATGACAAGCCTATTTAAGACGGCCCTGACGCAGTCCTTTAATTCAAACGTGGGTCCGCTTGGATTCATCTTCTGTCTCTGATACCAAAGTAGGGAAATTTAGTGGCATTTATGAGAAACACAATCAAGGGTGAAAAGCCAAATTAGTCTGCTGGTAGGGATATGAGTGGCCGTACGCTAACACCGGCGTTATTTTTCCGATACAGACCCGGCACCCTGAGCGAAGCCAGGATACGGGGCCTCTGGTGAATCTGCGAATCTGGAATTTCTACTCCACAGTGAGCCGGACGCAGGAAATAGCGCAAGTTCTGCTACCGCCGATTCGTCTCTGGCGAATCTACGGTCGTCCAACGCGCTAACCTCTCCTACCCAGCTCCGGCCCGGCCTCCGCCCGTGCACTCCGCCCCCTTTTCCTCAGGGACTCGACGCCGCTTTAGCAGTTGCAGATTCGTCACATGTCCAGAACTGAGCAAAGGGAGAGTAGTGGTGAGGTCCGCTCTTCAAGGGATGCGACAGGCCTGCCGGCTCCCCCCATTGCTCCTTCCCATACCATCCGGAGGGAAGGGAGAGGTGGAATCTCTTCTCTTCCACCCCCAAGGCTCCTGGAGGCGCCAGTGTCGAATGTGCTCCGGTGAACGCAGAGCCCGCCGGGCCTCGCGCAGGTGGCGGTGGTGTTTGGTGCGCGCGCCGGGGAGGAGGGAGGTGGTGGTGGGGGCACCGCCGCCGCCGCTGCCGCTGCGGGGCCGGGTCTCGCGCCGCCGCTGAGGTGGAGCGAGGTGGGAAAGGGAAGGGGAGGGAGCGACTCGCTCGCCCCGAGCGGGTGAGTGTAGAACGCGGTGCGCGCGCGCGCTCGGCGGGGAGGGGACGGCGCGCGCGGGTGGGGAGGGGGCGGCTCGCGGGGGTGCGCGAGGAGAGGGAAGTGCCGCGCGCGCTGCCTCCTCCCCCTGCCTTACTCCCGTCCCCTCTCCCCGGCCGGGGGCCCGGGCCCGGGCCCGGGCCGGGGCCGGGGCCGGGACCGGAGGGTCTCGCGGTGTTTCCGGAGCCCCGCCGCGGCCCCGGAGGAAGGTTCCACCTTCCTGGTTGGGAGCCGCAGGGTCCCTGGGCCCCAGGGAGCTGCTGGGGGTGGCGGGGAGGAGGGGATCGGAGAGCGGTGCACCGACCCTGGCCGGCCGCGGGTGAAGAGACAGGCGGAGGGGGCGGGGCTTAGGGGGGGCGCGCCTCCGGTCCGAGGGGGGAGGGGCCGGGCAGGGGGCGTGAGGGGCTGAGGGGAGGGCGTCCTGGGTTGGGGTTCCTAACGGAGTTTGAGCAGAGAAGTGTCTCGGGGCACCCAGGGATGGGGGGAAGGGGCTCACAGGGGATGTGTCTGGGGAAAGGGGGGGTGAGGGAGAGGAAGGGTGCAGCGAGACGTGGGGGGCCTCCCTTTTGGTGATGGGGGGTTGTAGGGAATGTGTATAAGAGCAGGTTATGTTGGGGGAGATAGAGGCTGTTGAGATGTATTTGGGAAGAAAGTTTTGGGGGGAGGGAGGGAGCTGTAAGGGGTTATCAGTGAGGGAAAGTTGCACCTGTGGGAAATGTGTATGTTAGGGGAAGGGGGAAGGGTTAGAGGTGGGAGAAAGGGAACATATGGGGGAAGGAAGGCTGGGGGGACCGGGGTTTTCTGCAATGTGGACGGGAGGAAGGTTGGAAATGTATAGGTAGCAGAAGACTACGGATGAAAGGAAGCTGTGGGGAATAGGTATGGGGAGAGGGATGTGTTTGCGGGGAGGAAGGACTGAGCAGATATATATGAGGCACTGTTTGGTACCCGGGTTGAAGAGATGTGTTTATGGAAGACCAAGTGGTATCCTAAAAGGGCTGGGTTGTCTGTGGGGGATGGTTTGGGGCCCTGAAAGGGCTCTGGATATAGACAGGTGTGAAGGAAGGCTATGGGAGTTCAGGGCCTTACTCTCTTCTGCTAATTGTTTATAGTGTAAATGAGCCAGGATGGACCAGGAAGGAGGGGGAGATGGGCAAAAGCCCCCCAACTTCCAGTGGCGAAACTACAAACTCATCGTGGACCCTGCACTGCACCGGCTCCCACAGAAAGTTTACCGCTATGATGGGATTCACTTCAGTGTCAATGTGAGTTATTTTGCCTAAACTGTTCTCCCCAAGCTTCTTGGGCAGGTAATTTTGTCTCCTAAAATTTCTGTTCTTTGTAACCTGCTCTTGTTTCAGAAAGTTGGCAGTCCTATTTTTCAGCCGACTCTGCACCTAAGTTCTTAAATTGTTTCCCCCAGAGTGATTAAATTGCTTTCCTTTATCTTTCACCCCAGGATGCAGGATACAAGATTGTTAGCAAGCTCCAAGACCCCCGTCAACGACTCACCTGGTCCAAAAACAGGGATCTTTCCCTCCCAGTCCCTAAGTTTAAGGTAAGTCTATGTTACTTTTATGATCTGATAGTTTTTATGGAGGGTGACGGTTGTAGGGAAATGTGCAAATCCACATAGGCAACCAAAGAAGGGGCTTGTTTTTGAGCAAGAGTATGAGCTCTGTACGTAGCATTGGTGAATAATTGAGTGAAGTGTCCTGACCTAGCAACTTATAATTTCACCTTGTGGTTGAGCCTAGGTAAGCTTTCCTTAGTGGTTATGATTAGCTATTGTTTTTTAGTTAGAACAGTGGCGTAAATGACCTTGGCCTTTGGAGAAGAGATGATTGACATTCTGGTGAGAACTCAGTCAACTATGAGAGCGGAAAAGATATCTACTTCATATGATTTCTGAATCTGGGTTTTGTGTGGTATGAAAAATGATGGTATCCTAAGTGGTAGCAGCTTTATCCCTAGATTTCATTGCTAACCTCATGCTTAGTTAAAAGGGATGGTATTAAAGATTCTGGAGTCCCAAAAGTTGCCCTCTCATATAGTCTTATGATCTTCCTTGGCATGCTAGTCATAGCTGCAGATCTCACAAAATGAGAAGCTAATTTGAATTGGGCTGCATTAATAGAAGCAATGTCCTGAATGAAATGGGTTATGTTCCCTCTATATTCTGTCCTGGTCAGATCACATCTGGAATAATATGCTCAGTTCTGGAGGCCTCATTTTTAGAAAGACATTGACTTATCTAGAACTTTTCTAGAGGAGAGAGACCAGGATGTTAAAGGAATTTGAGACCATTACATACGAGATTTGAAGGAACTATAGAGGTTAAGTCTGGAGAAAAGAGGACTGGGGGCTATGGAGTAGGAACAGATATGATCACTGTCTCTAAATGTTTGAAGAGCTGTTACGTGGAATAACAGCTAGAAAAATGTGTTTCGAGGTTTACAGAGCATTTTATTTACATTCTCATGTGGAAAAGGGATTTGTCTTGGGTTTTGTGGCCTCAGGGTGTAACTCCTAACAGTGAGGGGAAGTTAGGAGAGGCAGATTTTGTCTAAATAAGAGAAGGAAGGAAGGATG